GACGTATGTTAAGCGATGCATAGTTGTTGTCCACAAAAATCAAAGCGTGCAGTTTCACGCCTAGAATAAGAAGATGAGACTTGATCGCGTTTCTCTGTTCCTCTTTTAAAATTAATTTGCTGTCGATATCTTCTAGAACAGACCTAATAGCAGAATCTACTCACCCAAACTCTCCAGCGGCAGCCAATATTGTTGTCACCCAAGCGCGCTTTGGTCACGTGGTTGATAACGTTACTCTTGATCATCTGTCCATCATCGTATAAAGCCCGCCCTGACAATTTGATTGGATCGCCTGACAGTGGGCGATAATACTCGCGCTACTATGGAGCAGAGCCAGACCGAACTTCCCCGAACTCAAACCTTGTGGGCGGGACTAAGTTCGGACTGGCACCCAGGCTAGGTTAATACTGGGAAAGATGAGAGCAAAGAAACCGGGTGAGGCAATCAGGGAGTAGATCAAAACAGCTGAGGAAGATCAAATTAATTCAATCATGTTAATTTACTGGGGAAAAAAACTGAGAAATAGACGTTTGATGCAATAGATCTCAAACAAATAACTAAAGATCACAAAAGAAAAAAAAACAATATGACAAAAATGACACTTATAATAGTAAAACTAGAAACTGCTTTATAACTCAAAAGTTGCTGCATTTCTATTGACTAACATATTCAGCAAATTGTAATTATTGAAAGGAATTAAAGCTACAGTGTGTAATTTTTAGCAACATCTAACGTCCAGACTGCAGACCGCAGCAACATGAACATCTCCCCCCCACCGCTTCTCCCCCCCAACAGTACGGCGAGCGTTACGGGACAAAATGTCTTCCACGACGTCCGCATCACCTACCTTCTCAAGTGATGAGGTTTGTTTACATAGATAATTTTACAGATAGTATTCTCAGGCATAATACTGCCATCTATTGTTCAGTACTGTCTCAGTTCATCTCTCTCAACTTGCTGTAGTTACTTTCGAGCGTAATGGGCGATCTCGCAATCGCTAGTTTGTTGGCTCTGCGCTGCCGTAGCACAAAGATGTCAGCCTCCATGGCTGCGAGACCCGCTCCTATGTAATTATAAATAACGAATTATAAGGCAACGCAAATATTAAGGTTAAGAGGCTGAGCTCGTAGATGATGATAAATAAAATTGTTATGTATAATATATTACATTTCTGACTGTATATCCCTGTAATTATTACACACTGTAGCTTTAATGGAAACACAACACGGTAGTTTTCAAAAAAGCACACACAAACGTGGTGGTTTTTGTTGTTTTGAAATTTATATATTTCACAAAATGCAATGAAAACACTTTCTAATCACCATCATGTGATCAACAAACACATGTGACTACTAGTAAAAAAAAGAAAACTGACAGGAAATAAGAGGAGGAGCATTGCATTGCATGTTTTCTGAGTTATTGCATGTTCGATAATCATTTTGATCAACCCTGGTCCAAATACAAGCAGGGATATTTCTCAGATAGTGTGCACAAAGAAGGAAACATCTTTAAGTATTAACAGAGTTTATTCCAGTCATGTTATCAAATTATTGACATAAGCACAAATTTCAGAGGAAGTCTTCACCTTTTTTCTTAGGCCAACTTTCTTCTTGACCGTAGCTGTGGGACCAGCAAAACAGCGCAGAACTACAAAATTTTTTCTAATATATGCAAAAATGTTATACCCACCTAGGAGGGGCCTCTTCCAAAGTCTCAAACTGCAGTTTCCTGCCTTTCTACCCCTGACCAAAGAACTGCCATTTAAGGGGATGCTCAACACTCTATGCTCATCATATGCCATCTGAGCCTTTAAGATTCGAATGACATTCTAGCTGACTTACATAGACAGTGAACAGACTTATAGTAGTTATTTAAAGAAGTTATTTAAAACAGAAAATAAAATAAAAATTAAATTAAAACAGCTTAAACCAACTTTGTATGACTATGGTATTATCAGTGTATTGACAAAGCTTACCGTACATTTGTAATGGAAACAAAGCAAATAAACAAAGAAATTAACTGACAGCTAACCATTGAAATAACAGAAAACAGCAAGGAATAAAAGAATACATCCAAACAATAGAAAATACCACAACCAGAAAAAAACACAAAGAAAACAACAACCAGCCCAAGGATTGGGACAACAGTAAAAACATAGGAAATAAAGGTCCCTCTCTTCTCTATGTGAGCAGAGTAAAAACAAGTACATAACATATTTGAGATGTTGCACAGAAAGAGTGTTGTTTGCTTCACACCAGTCTAATCTAATTAATTAGCCCCATGACAAATAATAATAACAAAAAGTTAGACATTTTAATTAATATATGAATTAATGAAAATCAGTTAACATGAAGATTAGCTGCTACTTTTACAATTTCAATCAATCAACCAGTATAAAGTATTTTTACTGGTGGCTGTTTTTGCTGCTGTCTCTATGTAACAACATTGCTACACAAACCTGTTGGGGCACATTTCTGTGTAAGGCAGAACCTCTCCATGATGTTTTGTTTATGGAAGAGATTCATATGTGGATGAAATTCCTTCCAAGTGGTTTCAAAACCATTTTGTGATTTTCAAAAACACTTCTCGACATATTCTTTTCATGCATTTAACAGTAAAAGGAGAATTTGAAAGGCAGTGAAAAGCAAGAGTTATTCAGCACTTCAGTTATATCAGACCGATCTGGGGTCCGTTTAAAAAGCAGGTTTACTGAAAACTCTAGGATTTCAGTAACAGGGAAACTGACTTTTCTGTTTCACAAAGAGAATTTATTCAACCTCTTTTCCAGTCATCAGAGTAACATTATTCCCAGAGCTTACCTGATCGGGGGCAGTTTTTGTTCATATTAACATGGATTTTTTCCGGTGTTCAAATACTTATTTGCAGCTGTTTCGTAAAAACAAATACGTAAAAATCATACATTGTGATTTCTGGATTTTTTTTTTAGACAATTGGTATTTACTCTGTAATGGAAGAATGAGGAGGAACCCCATGAGATGATGCTTAGGTCCTTTTCAACAGGTTCTATTCCTTATCTTCGTCTATGACAGGTGATTTCAAGACGTGCTGTTAAATGGTGCTATATAAATAAGCTGAATTGAATTTTACAGTTTTGTGTTTTTACTTTCTAAAAATCTGTCTCAGCTGCAAAAATGTAATTTAGAAATGATATTATTATAGTTCCAACTAATAATGTGATTTTGACCAGGAAGAATCTTATTTTAGTGATCTACAAATGTAAAACCAGTGAGGAGAGGACTTTTAATAAATGTAAAAGCAGCCTGCTATACCAGACTATATTTAAACGTAGGCATCAACTCAAGCAGCAATCTTCTCCTTCGCTATTTTCCTCTCTTATGCCGCTGCAGTGCTGTTGTCACATTCTCCATTTATTTCTTTCATTTCTGCATTAAAATCTGTAGTTTCAGTGGGGTGAAAAAGGCACTTCCTTTTGTCTTGCTGACTCATTGAATTGGGGCTCCACAAATGATGGTTTTTCATACCTGTTACATGTGTTTAACTCTGAGCTTACCTACTTAGAGTTGAATAAACTAAATCACAGCAGATTTTATGAATCTGAAAACTCAGTTTCCATCCTTGGGCGAGATAAATGAGCATGTCACGGAAACTGCGTTTTTAAACACATTTATCTCCTTATTGAAAATCATTAAGGGAACTGCAGTGAAAATGTGAACCCT